TCTCTCTCTCTCTCTCTCTCTCTCTCTCTCTCTCTCTCTCTCTCTCTCTCTCTCTCTCTTTGCAATTTCTCTTTCCCTCTATTCCCCAGATTGTAAATTGTGTCAATTTCCATAATTATTCGTTTTAGTTATTTTGCAGTAGTTGATGATGATTATGATGATGATGATGATGATGATGATGATGATGATGATGATGATGATGATGATGATGATGATGATGATGATGATGATGATGATGATGTATTTCCAGGTTTGAGCCCGGTCTGATCATCACGAGGAGAGGCCTCCGTGTGGAGATTGAGCTGCCCCAGAGCGGAATCTACATCAATGTCGAAGGCTCTTTCATCAAGATCCAGGTTCGTGAATGCAAGCTACGATAAGATAAAATATAAAAAGAAACATAAGAATGGGGGAGAGGGAGAGAGACATAGAGAGAGAGAGAGAGAGAGAGAGAGAGAGAGAGAGTGAGAGCGTGAAAGAGAGAAAGAGAGGTAAGGAGACACACAGATAGACACACAGGATGAGGGGAGAGGGAGAGAGACAGAGAGACAGAGAGACAGAGAGAGAGAGACAGAGAGCGTGAAAGAGAGAAAGAGACGTACGGAGACACACAAATAGACACACAGGAAGAGAGAGAGAGAGAGTGTGTGTGTGTGTGAGCGAGAGAGAGAGGGAGGGGTGGGGGGAGACGTACAGATAGACACACATAAAAAGATTTTGTAAGGTTCTATCATTATCTTCCTTCCACTACAGATGTTAAAATCTTTAAAGGGTCTACAATTATCAGTCTGTAATTGTTGCAGTTTTGTTAGGGGCTACTGTTACCTTTCTTCCCCTCCAGGTGTTGTAATTGTGATAGGGTCTGCAGTTGTTGCAATTTTTATGATCTACGTTATCGTTCTTGCACTACAGATTTTCAAATTTTAAGGACCTACCTTTATCTTTCTTTCACTAAAGTTTGCATCCTTAGTAGTAAGTGCTTTCTTGTTGTACCTCCATTGTTAACAGTGAAAATGTGACTTCTTCTTAAGCTCGCGCTTTGTAGTAAAACTGTTTTCACTGTTACCAAAAATGGAGATACGGCAAGAAAGCACGGAGGTCGCGTTGTAGCAAGCTGTCCCCGAGGTTTTAGGCCAAAAAAAATCTGAAATTATGCAAACTGAGCCCAAAAATGTGAAATTATACGATTCTGTTAACTTTAACAAAGAATGATAAAGGAAAATAATCAGAAATTCTGAGAAAAAAAAAGATCAAATTTGGCTAGACAATGCAGGGTGCATAAAACCACGGGGATAAAAATTTTGTTATGGTCTAATAATAATAA